AGTCACTCAGAATATCATGGATCTAGCTCTGATAATGAAGTGAAAGTTCACTTACTGATGGTAATATACACCATTTGTAGAAAACACAGATGAGAAAATATTTTAAATGACACATAATTGTCCATTACCATATAATTAGGATAAGCATTATTTGTGTATAGTATGCTTTTTTGAAATACTTTTCTATGGTTCTGTATTATTTTTGACAATTTAGATCATAATATATGAGCTATTGTATATTCTGTTTTTCACTCTTATTAAAGTGAATGTTTCCACATTAGTAGTTTGTGCAGATAACTAATGTCCTCTTGATGTTGTAAAATTCTAATTCATTTAAATTTTCCTCTTTATGTAGACATTTGGAGAACATTTGAAAGAACATTTGTTTTTAATTTTTCATTACCATAAAATATATTGTGAAATAAATTCTAGATGCATAATTTTTCATATATTTATGGAGAGTAGATTTCTAAGGATAAGGGGTACTGGATTAAAGGACATGAGCAGTTCTAAAGCCCTTGTTTAGAGTTAAATTTCAGAATATTTTATACCAACACACATTCACCAGCATAAGATCTATACCTCTCATCAATATTTATAAGTTTGCCAATGAAAAACATAGCTTTGTCTTTAAAATGAATTTCTCTGATGACTTATGAAGTAGAAGATTTATTTACCTGTGTGATGTCCATGATTAAAATTATTTTTATTAATTTTACACTATTTATAATGGTGAAGGATTATTTTAATTTTTTAAAAAACTATTTCAGTAATCACCATTGCCACATTGTTACAAGCAATTCCCAATATGTTCCATATATTTCTGTGGCAAACTGCATCATTTTTTCCTGTGACTTATTCCATCATTTTCACTTAAATGCTCCTTCTAACTACATATTAGATATATGTTGATATCTTCCATTTTCTGTTCTTTATAGATCTTTGGGTTACCTGACATTTTATTACATGATACCTTTTCACTTTTTTGTGACAGCATTAAGGAAAATTAAGTTTCATAAAATGCCTATATAGTTATTGAAAACCTTTTATGAACTATGCATTGTCATCTTTTAAATATTCTTGAAAGATAAGAC